TTCTTTGTTATCCTTAGTTAATGCTATCATGGTAATGAACACTATCTTCAAAATACATGAAATAAACCTTATACGTTGTCTCTCAGAATGGATAGCCTTTTGCACTTTCAACACAATCAGCATAGAGCTAAAGCACTGGGGATCCTTGAAAAGATACTGTATGTAAATGGCTCCTTCACAATATTTGAGGAGATGACAGCTCTTGAAAAGGTGTGCCTGAGGTTTTTCATTTCCCCTTCCTTTTGGTTTTGTTGGCATCTATGGACTGAAATACCGCTCTTAGAAAAACAAGGCTGGGAGGAGTTCTCACTGAAGATGAAATTTCTAGTTTTTCCAGCCCTCTGGCTGGATTGGTCTGTTTTCCGGAGAAACAGAAAAGAATAGGATATATAAAGATGTATTTCATTTGGGAAAGTGGCTTGCAGAATTATAAAGACTGATAAACTTCAGATTTTGCCCTTTGAAACCTGGAGGTCCAGAAGAGCTGACGGTGTAAAACTCTTATCTAATGGTGCAGGCCTAAAAGCCAGAGGAGACAATGGTGTAACTCACGGTCTAAGGTCCCATGCTCAAAATCCAGAAACACTGATTTCCAAGAGCAGATGATTATCTCAGATCAGAGACAAATTCATCCTTCTTATGACTTTTTTGTATTATTCAGGTCCTCAACTTATTGGACAATGCCCACCCCTGTTGGTGACGATGATGTTTACTCATCCTACCAATGCAAATGTTATTAGCTTCCAGAAATAACCTCATATACCCAGAAATAATACTTTGCCAGCTATCTGAGCCTCTCTTAGTTTAGGCAAGTTGACACATAACCCTAACTACCCAAAACAAAGATTTTTCTTCAAGCAGCATACTCTCTTGTCTGTCCACTACTTTCTGCTATGTGCCAGTCATAGCAAGGTTGACTGTAGCCCAGCCCAGTTCCTCTTCTGTCTATTAAGAAAAAAAAAATTCTTCCAATATTCATAAGATGGGGAAATATGTCCTTTGGCTCCCTTCACATATCCAGTTTTGTAATTGACATAAGCTCAGATACTTACAAGAGACCTATGTGTATGTATACCATAGATTCTGGAACCAAAAAAGAAAAAAGCTACCCTACGTGGGCACAGTGTTATATTACATTAACAACCAGCTCTATCCAAAACCCACAAGCAGATCAGGTACTTCAGCTTTTTCAAAAATGAGGGAAAAAATCACCACCAATAGAACAACTGCAATTTTATGGTTCTATCCAAGGAGATCACATTTCCAGTTTGTAGTCTTTTCTTTTAGGACGATTCAAAGGTAGTGAGGATCCTATCATGGTAGTAATTATAATGTGAATGGATCCACAGTTTGTAGGGGAAGATGAGGAAATTCTTCTGAAAGCCGCCCATCTTTCCACAGCTTCAGCTAGTTCTGGGCTCTTTCTTTCACACTCATCTGAAGACTGGCCAAAACCACAGCCACCTGAGTGAGGAGAAGCAGAACTAGAGATCTTCCTAACACGAAAATAGCCCCGGAGCTCTTTCATCTGAAACACAGAGTTGGCTCTAGACTGCTGAGTTTCCATCCAAGTCCCATCACGCATCTTTGGTCTAATAAGCATAAACACTCAAGTGAGTTTTCTGCACTAAGAGTAAGCGACCATCATTCACAAAGAAGAGGCCTTGACAGACTGGCAAGAAGTGGTCTGTCTAGGCTGACAGAGCCTGAGTTTGTGGGAGAAAGGCATCATTGGGTCAGGAGGCACTTCTTCGTTTAAACAGATAAAATTTTAGATGCAAATTGATGTACTAGAATTCTTCCAGTATTTACCTATCTTTTCTTTTAACCTAACAGTAATATTCGTCAATAAATTTTAAGTTGAAATATAATATTTTAATCTCTTGACACATACCCCCAAGTTCATTCATGGATGGCATCTTTTGTTTCCTGCTTTTCATGGTGTGGGCTCACATTTCTAGATCACGTTGTGTTTTTGTCATAACGGGAATCAATTTTATTGATAAAGTCTGCTCCCCTCCTCCGTGTGTGTTCACATCAGAAGGCCAGGAATATTTCCTCTGGTGCTACTTGCAAAATCCTGAGGGAAAGGCATTTTTGAAAAGCTCTTCAGCTTTGAAGAAAGATGCTGAGCTATCATCTAGCCCCAAGGTGTGTGAAACACATCTGTACCAATATACTTATCCCCAGACACTCTGCTCCAGTATAGGGGTGACTTTCTTGTAGCACTGTCTTCTAGCTTAAAATAATGATAAGGATGGTAGTAAAACTTGATGCTTCTTAAAATCTCTCTATTCATTGGGCACTGTTTTTCTACCTCATTACAGATAGAGTCTTATTTAGCCTCACAATAAGCTGTTGAAATAGTTACATCTGTTATCTCCCTCTTACCGAAGAGCAAATGCATATATATAGGACTCAAATGTCCTTTCTATGGTCGTGTAGTTTCCTTTAACTCAGAGAAGACGTGTGTCAGTGTCTGCCAGCAGAGGCCGGGGAGAAAGGATGGCCAAAAGTCACTGCGGCAATGGGAAGGGCACTAAAGATGAATGGGCAATGAAACATCCCTACCTACTTCGGAGAAGGAGCGTCAGAGATGTACTGACATCCAGAAATTCCGAGCTATGTACTCCAACCTTTAGTGACCCTGGAGAATTATGCCCCCAAATTAGCTGGAATAGCATCTTTGGGAATTTTCAGGTGTTTTTAGAATTTCCTAGGAAGGCTAGTCCCATGGAGAAATATATGACTCTGGGGATGGAGTCTTAGGTACACTCACATGATTATAGAAACTGAATGAGAAAGGAAAAAAATCATGAAGTTCAGAAGTTCAAGTTCACTGTAAACCTTCAGACTCACAACCAATTTGGGGCCAACCAAGCCTCTGCGCATACACATATGCCGAAGAAGGGAGGAACCCATTCATACAGAATAATGCACTAACATGAAAAACAAGGGCTAAGAGGCTGAGGAGATAGCTCGGTGGCATAAGTGCCTGCTTGGCAAGCACAAGGACCCAGGTTAGATTCCCCAGTACCGCAAGCCTTGCTGGCCCTGCCCCAGGTGCACAGTGCCAACCTGAAACCCAGCATGGGGGTACACATCTGTAATTGCAGCACCGGGGAGGCTGAGACAGGAGGCTCACTGCAAGTCTGAGCTATGTAGTAAGATCCTGTATCAAATAAATAATCTTTTAAAAGAAAAAGAAGGGCTAAAATCCACTCTCTTCTAATCTCTTTATGGGATTTAATCTGCGTATGTTCTGATTCAAGACTTAACCTGCTTGTTTCTACGCAACACAGCAAAAATGATCACTTTATCCATATACACATTACTATCTGCTCCCATTTGTATTTGATTGTATCCCAAACCTACAAAAGACAGTTTAGGACCACGACCTGTACCTTATCAGAACTGGGCTGGGACTAACACATGAGCCACAAATGAGAACATTTTCCACGGATGCGATAAAGTTCCCATTTGAAGAGCATATAGTGCCCTTGGTAAGTATCGCCTCATAGCTGGCCCACAAGCTTTTTGCTTGACGAATATTAACAGGCTGATCGGCAAATTATGTTCCAGTTCTGTGCAGAAAAGGCCTCTGTGTGTGACACAGCAAAATAAAGTTCAGCTTGAACTATTTTTGAAAAATGGAGTAAAACGAAGTTTCTAAGTGTAGGATTCTGATGAACTGAATAGTTATGTTAGCATTAAGAACAGTCTCTCACTTTCTGGTGTTTTAATTATGTCCCCTGGGACAGGGAGAAGGGTTAGGGCGGGCACAGAGATCTTAACAGCTTGTTTGGTTGCTGTCCCTACCTTTACTGCTGTTGAACTAAAGGGGAAAAGGAAAAAAAAAATAAATAAAAAAATAAACTCCACAGGCGAAAATTCTTTGCATTGCAAATAAAATAGTTTTTCCCTGGTTTTTATCAGCATAAGTCCCACAAGGAACCAACAGCCGGTTTATGTCAATGAACAAGACTTATTGTTTTCAGATTTATTTTTTTATAGCTAAAAAAAATCATGTTGAACTTAAAGGCAACAAAGAACAATGAAGATTTTAATTTGAGTTGCCAGCACAATTTCTGGGTTGCATAAAGGCCATCTTCTACCCTGCTAATTGGGGGAGAATTCATTAACCTCTATACTTTTGTAACTTGCATTACATTATGCGACACAGGCACACGGGCAAATACACACCCGAACACACAGAGACACACGTATGGACGTGCTTTTCTCCCTACCCAGCACACAGATGTGTTTGCTATGTGTATCTCTGGTTTCCATGATCCATCCATAAAAATTAATGGGACAGGGACAGGAGGTCAGAGAAGCAAAAAAGAAGGAATGAAAAAGAAATCCTGAAGGAATTAGGACATTTCATCTGGGATAAGAATGAGGAGGTGACAACACTTCATAGAGCTGGGTCCATAAAACCTTTTCTTATTGTAGTTCAACTCATCATTTCATTTTCTCCTAAAGAAAATGGTGTAGCTAGAAGAATGAGGGACCCAAAACTCACTTCAGGGTTCAGGTCTTCCCTCTTAAGAGGAAACAAAAACTGCCTGCACACCAGCACCCTTGCCACGCCTGAGTAAAAAAGTGTGCACTGAAAGTCAGGAACCCTTCATGCTGATTTTGCCCACTGCAAAGCTGCTAGTTAAGTGCTGGCCGGTCAACACTCTCCTTTGAGTCCAAGTTTTGTTTTTTTAATCTTAAAAATGAGGTTTTCAAAGAAACCATCTGGTTCAGCCAGCCTTTTTCCTTCCTTTCTTTCTTTCTTTCTTTCTTTCTTTCTTTCTTTCTTTCTTTCTTTCTTTCTTTCTTTTCTCTCTCTCCCTCCCTCCCTTCCTTTCTTATTTTTCTTTCTTTCTTCTTTATTTTTTTGTGCTAAGGATTTAACCAAGGGCACAGTGTATGCTAAGCCCGTGTTTTACCTCTGAGCTAGGTACATCCCCAACCTAGGTCTAGTATTTCTTGACTCCTCCTTTGAATTGTAGCCTTTGGGTTATCTTCCGTAACCCAAACATGATCCCTCTAAGTATCCCCTTATGGATGCTTACTTGTACCATGACCCTTTAAACCCAGACTCAGAATTGTTCACTTATACTTATTAGCCCTTAGGCACTGATAAGAACAGATAGTACACTTGATCTTAGCCAAAAGGCCGAAAAGCAATCGACCTTGGGTGCTGGTTCTATGAGAGTCATGTGTGGCATATAATTTCCTCCAGGATATTCACCAACACTAGATGGACACTGTCATCTCCTACTGGGGACTCTTTAGGTCAGAACGAGGAAAATGGACCGAAGGCTGCTGCACAAACAATGGGGCACTCTGCGATGTCCCTCAGGATGACACTTAGCAATCATTTGGAGAAACCATAATTCTGAAGCAAACCTCATATACCAAAGACACACAATCCAGGTGAGCACCAAAATGTGCTCCAGCCTGGGACTCAATTTTCAAGGAGTTTCAAGAAAAAATAACTACATGTTACACCTGGCCTAATGGCTGATGCATTGTGTCAAGTTGAGAATGGAGAAGTTGTGAAGTTGAACTCAGTGACTGAACAGGGGACCAGCAGCTTCACTTTGTAAACATCCTGAGCTTGGGGAAGAGGAGGGCTGGGAGATGGTGCAGGTGGGGAGCCGGTATGAAGAGGCTTGCTCTCTTCCCCCACAGTGCCCCAACCCCCTCTTTTGCTCTTGTTGCTTTTGCTGTCTTCTGCCCCTCCACGTGCTGCTCCTGTGCCATGCCACCCTGTCTTGGAGCCAGCTGATCCTGGACTGAAACCTCCACTAACTGTGAGCTAAATAAACCTGTCCTTCTTTAACTTTGGGGGTCGAGTATCTTTCTCCCAGTAACAAGAGAAAAGTGACTGAGATGGTCCTTGTCAGGGCTCAGCTGCCATAATGACCAATGAACTGAAGTTGAGGAAGAATGTTTTCTCTTAGCGCCTAGGAAGCTAGATGGCATGCATTCCCAGGTAGTGTGTAATTTTAAAATGTTATCTTGTCATCGTCCCAATTTCAAGGCTCATTTTCTTCTAGCATGCGAGCAGCACACATTTTGTGATTGGTTTTAATTATGGAGCTTACCCATATGAAAACTATTTCCATGGGTGTTTTTTTTTAACTGTCACTATAAAAATACAAAAGTGCTCTCAATTTAATTTTTCGTAATGTAATTTTGTTGCAAGAGGTCACGTAATAGAAAATAACACAAAAAGCATTTTATCTAAATTGTTAAATGAGTAGCCGAGTATATGTAGATTGGTTAGCTGCTGTCGAAGTTGTTATGCCTGCATTACTGTTCTAGAGATTTAAATCTCATTTTTTTCTCTGATATCACAGTATTTTTGGCATGGAGTTTACGACTAGAAGAGGTGCTGTCTTCGAGCTCAAGTGGTAAAAATAGAAAATTTCCTTGTGATGCCAGAGCAGTGACGGCTGCTCATTACATTGTCATGGTTTGAGCAGGCTGCTCAAGGTGCTGAGCAGGGAGTACAGAGGCCCCAGGAAGGAGGAGCAGTTGTGCACACACCTATGATGCCCTAGTACAGGTGACCCCTGAGGTCAGCACCCTCAATCAAATTCTTCTCAAAACTGCAGACTGTGAGACCCAGATTTTACCCCTAGTGGGGAGGAATTTAACTCATTCTAGAATGCAGAGAATTATACTCCTCACACATGATGGAAAAAATGGATTTTTATGTTCAGCTAGTGTGTGTGTGTGTGTGTGTGTATGTGTGTGTGTGTGCGTGTGTGTGTGTGTGTGAGAAAGCATGCACACATATGTGCACCATCATATTTTGGCAGGATCAAGGTCATGGAATACCACAGTGACAACCCCAACCATAGTCGTGGTCCCAGGGAGGATTCAGTGGCATCTCTTCTGATCCACAGAAGTGTTGATGGCCTTAGGTTGAAATGCATTGAAGTGTCCAGAGAAACTGTTCCTACTAAACTCTTGCCTGACTCAGTTCAAATTTAGTGTAGAGCTGTGTTGTGCTACAGATCACAAAAGGCATCCGTTCAGGATTCCTTGTGGTCTGTCCTTAATGGTAATCATATAAGGCTTGGCGACGTCTTTGGGTCCAAGTTTGATTCCCAGTTTGCATTACTTAAATTCCAGTAAGAAAGCATATAGTGAAGAATGATAAATGCATTGTTTTTAATTCACTCATGTACTATAAAAATTGAAAAATGTATTTTTTTATTAAATTTGGTCAACGCTCATTTTTTAGAGAAAAGAGTTGGTCAAGGTAGAAGGTGATAAATGCCACCAAAGTCCATATTTCCATTTCTTTGTTTTATATCTCTTGGGACACTAAACTAACATTAATCTCTTTGGTGAGGCTAACGAATGTCTGTTGGTATTTCAGTATATCATATTTGTTTTAAGGTTTAGTTGTATTCTGATTTGTGTTACAAAGACACCCTCACATCAGAAAACATTCTTTCTAGAGAAAATGCAAATGGCTAAGCAAGGTAAGATTCTGGCAAAGGAACTTACCACACCCTCCTTGAGCATCAGGATGGGTTGGGATCATGCTGAAGCATAGTTATTCAATGAGTCTCAAGGAGCAAATGCTAGTCGCAAAGCATAGCATGAGGCACAGGCCAGGTGGGGTGCTACACAATCCCAGATCCCTGTTTTCCACTAATAACCCTTTGTTTTTGGGATAGGGCCCTACTGTATTTCCCAGGATAGTTGCAAACTCTTGGCCTCAAATGATCCTTCTGCATCAGGGTTACAAGTATCTTGGTATGTGGCACTCCACCTGGCTTTTCAGGGGTGTTTTGTTTTGTTTTTGGTGCAGGATCTCACTACACAGCTCAGACTCATGATCCTCCTGTTTTCTGCCTCCCTAGTGCTGGGATTACAGGTGTGTATCACCATGCCTGGACCCCATCCGCTGGCTGAGTGTGCCCAGGGGTGGGGCCGCTGAGGCATTTGGTGCCAGGGATCAAACCCTGGCCCCTGTGCTTGCCTAATCAAACACTTAGTCCACTGGGTTATCCCACCAGCCCTCCCACCTGGCTTTTCATTAAAAACTTTAAAAAAATATATAGCCAAATTATATCCAAATAAGTGGCCCTGGTGTCTTTACTCTCTTACAATAAATAATCATGGCAAAAAGTGAATGCAGATACTTCACTTTTCTTTGTGTTAAAAAGAAATGTGTAAATGATTTTCTACTTACATTCTACCTTTACTGAGGAGCCCAAAATATCAGGTTTTGTTCTCTGGTTTGTATTGTGAGTAGGAAAAACTCATCTGTAGATAATCAATCTTAGTTGTTTTCCTATATAGGATGGAATAATTTCTAAAGGTTATGAAGAACATACTATTATTAATGCATAAATTATAATTATCAATTGCATTGCTGAATTATCTCTTGTATATGATTGAGAGACTATATATCTCCCAGTAAATAACACGTGTGTGTGTGTGTGTGTGTGTGTGTGTGTGTGTGTGTGTTCTTTCCTTAAGATACTAATTGGAATGGAGGCTGGAACCAAAATATTTTTTACTAATGCTGTAGAAAGTAATATATATGGTAGGTTCTTACCCCATATCTTTGCTGTTATACCTTACAAGAACCATACATTCAACATACACAAGCCAAGAAATTTGATAAACATTGTGGAAATCCAGAAAGAACCATTAATTAAACATCATAAATCAACATTTACATTCAGAGAAAAGGTCTTTGTGGTAAATGAGGCAATTAATGAAGAAAGTAAAAGATGCATTCTAAGTTAACAAAAAAGACACCCAGATACAATTTTGATAAAACCATGTAATTTGAAGCACTGAGCCATTTGAATTCTTTTTCATCCCTAGATGATCTGTAGAAGATCTGTTAATCTTTCTTGATTAAGCTATTCAACAAGAGTTGAAAAGCAATAAGAGTAAAAAATAAAAGTAAAAATTATAAATGACCCAATGCTTTACATTTGAGCATGCATTCACAAATGATTAATTTGTAGAGGTAGAACTCACATATCATTTATCACAGCCTTCTTCATTGCTAGTCTAAACAATTTTATCGTACTGAGGCCTTTGTCCCCTTCCTCCTTCTGTGCAAGTCCATTCTTCTTCATCTCTAAAGGGCCTGGGAGTCTCATCTGAAACCTTGTTTCAGATATGCTGTTCCTACCTAAGCCATTTTAAATCATCAGTCTCCCTCCTCCAGAGGTAAGGGGAGAGGGTGAAAGACATTTACCCTTCAAGCAGCACAAACGTCACTCTTGGACACTAGATGTGTGATCTTGCCCTTCGTTTTCCTTTTATATCAAGTGAAATGTACCACATGAATATATTTACTTACTGAAAAAGAAGATGAGAACATGAGAATAAAAGAACCCCACATTAAACTTGAAGAAAGAAAGAGGAAATTGGAACCAATGGTGTCTAAGGTTTCATCCAGTTCTGCAATCCTGTGATTTTATTGCTCAATAATGATTTGTTAGTGTTTTCTATGCTTTTGGCATGCTCAGTCGACAGGCTGCTGGACATGCTTTGTCCATCCCTGCAGAAGGCTTGGCTCACAGGTCTGAGCCACACACAAAATGGTCCGGTGAGGGAGGGATTCGGACTGACCAGGTCAGCTGCCAAGAGCTTGGCAAGCAACTTGTCCACCAGCACAGGCCAACCTGAGAGGTGACTGCGCCCAGGAAACAACATGACTGAATGCATAAAAAGGAATCAACAAAGACCCCACGGAGTAGAAAACTGACATAGGTAGTCTGAAAAGAAAAGCCTAAGCCAGAATAAATACAGATGGATAGTAATGACAGATAAGGAAGCATTGGACAGGAATGAAGAGTACTGTTGACTCAACTGGGGAGTGTATAGTTTTACAATGGCTAACATCTCTGCTCCTGAGGCTTGTCGGCAGAGGCAGACATTCTAGTAACTTCTGAGGATCACACAAAAGACTGAGAGACTATCAGGATTAGTCTCCTGATTTACATACATGTCAAGCACTTACTGGTACCTGGCATGGAGTGAGTGGACAACAAGTGCTAGCTATTTCTAGTGTCACCCCTTTGTACTATTACCTCCTTTGAACATGGATACATATTTTAAATGGAGAGGAAAGCATGAAAAAATGGAATAAGTGAATTTAAGGTAAAATTGAGAAATAAGGTGCAAAATAAAAAAAAG